CATCAGTGCGACTAATCACAACATGACAAATGATTGTTCATTGATCATTTAAAGCTTTTACAGATTTGTTTGATTTAAACCGTGATAACTGCAGTAGCCCACGGTCAATTGCAACTGTTGACAACCTGACAGCTGCCTTAATGTCCACACAGTCACAGTGTTATAAAGAGACAGTGTAGCCTCTAGATTTTATTCCAAGCTGATTATTGAAGATCATGGCTGGGTGACCAACTTGTATCTAACCGGAATTTAGAGGTTTCTAAAGACGTAAATTTCTGTATATGAATTGGTTCCATATGTGCTTTGACATCGACTACATGAATGAGAAATTAAGTGTGTCAGACGGCTGCTTCTAGCTCAGAAGAAAGGGAGGAGTCAGAGATGAGCTGAATGATAAACCCAGACTTTCTCTCATCTAAGGCTTAAATTCAGAGGTTTCACAAAACCCACTTTCTGAAACAAGGCCCAACTGCAAAGAACTGCTATCCAGATCGCTCACACTTTTAATATCTCCATAGATTTTACATTATGCATCAGGGGTAATCAGGGGTTGTCGAAGCTTATAGCGTACCAAACAAATCCTTAATGCGGTGCTTTGTGAAGTCATCTCAAGTTTTAAGTAGTTAACTTGAACATACTGTGTATTTTATGATATGATTTAATATCATCTGAACCTGGACAGAGAGAGTTGGAGGCAACTGGAAGCACGCCCTCAGCAGGCCGGGTGAGAATAGCAGCACATTCGATGGACATGCTGAGCCGGTAAAAGCCCATCTCAATGCCTCCACAGTGGTGTGCAAACAGTCGATGAGAGACCCTCAGACTGGATAAGGAATCTGTTGAGCCACAGACTCTAGTGACCTTGAATAAGATTTGAACAACATTTTCAGTTCAGTGTTGTCAATTAACTAGTGCTATAAGCAACCTTGGGTCCAACAATATTAAAATACTGCATACAAAAACACACCTCACTAAAGACTCATTAACCAAGCTAATAGGTAGGTAAAAGAATGCCTATGGACTGGTAACTAGCCTGTATGTTGTGATCATCAGGCATTATGGAGGTAAACTGAGGCCGTTTCCAACTCATCCAAAGGGCTGGCTCTCTGGCCATGTTGACAGAAAATGGTTCATAGCCCTCCTGCAGGCCACACACAGTGAAGTACTGCAGAGAGTCGACTTGTCGGCCCAGGTTCAGCCTTCCCACCTGGTTCGCCCCAACACTGACCACAGGCAACAGGCCTGGGTAATACAAGATTTAAAAAAAATGTCAGTCTGATAAATATATTTAAGTCTTTGATATAGGCTTAACTTTCTCAAGGAATGGGGGGAAAAAAAATCAATATCTTGATTTATTATGTTTCAGTTTAATGGACAGTATCAAGTCTGTGCAATACACTATATAGAGTCAAAAACTCTTCCACACCGTCTCTGATATCGAAGTCCTTGGCAGCCAGCTCTGATCCTCTGTCATTAAACAGCACCTCTCCATTGAGCGTGACCATCATGGTGCATTCAGCCATGTCCACCAAGCAACCCACCACATCGCCCCTCTGCCATGGACGTCCCAGGGGCTCAACGCCCTGATGGTACCACTGAGCCTGAAAGCAACAGGAAGACAAGGAGTAAGAAATAAAAAAGAGGCAAGTGTGAAAGCCTCATATAGTAACAGGAAAAGAGGTAAAATAACCCATCAATAGCACATGATGAGGTAAGATGTTAAAAAGATTGTCAGACTACAATGGCTGTGCGCCACTTTGCTTATGTCCATGTCCCTCATATTACATAATGTTAGTATAAAAAAAATTAGTTTTTTGTATAAATTTTAAATCATGTGGAAATAGGCCAGAGACTGGCACTGTTTGTCGCGCCAATTGTTTAATCAGGGTTCCACGTCTTAATCACAGCTTTTCTGAAATTATGTGCTGTTGTCCAAGCACCAGGTTGAATTCAGATGACATTGCCTGGATGTGCAACTTTTGCATTGAAGTTAGCTATTCTGTTGGACTTTTTCATGCTTACATTGAATTCCTCTCATTATGGTTATTTTACAGACAAGTATAAGGCCACTGTCCCTGTATGCTCTCCAAACATCCTCTGGTATGACTAATGATCACACCAGCAGCCAGAGCACACCCGTTCACTCTTACACACGTAAGAGGAAATGTCTGAGAACTGTGGGAACATAAAGCCATGTTTTTTTCCAACCAATCCACATTGGGGCTTTCACAAAGTCACAATGTGATTTGGGCTTATTGATGTTTTAACATTGTTGGTCATGTGGCCAAATTAAGAACTGGCAAATTTGAATAGATCACCTCAAATCCATCGAAGACATATGCCTGGTCATCTGAGCCGAGCTCTTTATCTGGTGTACAGCATGGTCGGGCCCATCCCACTCTCATATTCCCCGCTGTCACTATTTCAAATTCAAAGTACCACTTCCCCCGGGTTACAGTGTATGATTTATCTGGTCTGAACACTCTGCACTTCTCAGCAGAGAAGAGACATGGATTTGATAATGTGGCTGTAAACCCAAGAAACAGAAAAACATATGGTTATCTGCTAAAATAATAACCGATTTGCATTCAAATAGAATCTTTGCAATACAATATTGACAAATTTTATAGCATTGTAAATATTCTGTAAAATGGTAACTAATACGCTGTACTAGTCTAGTTGATAAGAAACAGAGCCTTATCCTAATTATACTTGCATTCATTGTCTTATGCTGGTTACAGTGAATAAAACAGAGCTTTAACTGACAAGATTAATTATAGGACTTTGACACATACTCCATTCCTGGTTGAGGGGCTCCAGGCTGTAACCATAAGCCAGCAGGGTACAGACAGCTTCCCTGACACTCTCCCTGCCCACTCTCTTGCTCCTTTCGTCAAGAAGGTTGTAAGGAATGAGGTATGGGCTCCGCTTTGCTTTCACATCCTAAAAATACAAACGCAAAGTGCAAAAATGGGCGACTATATTTGTCAGAGAACAGTATTAATGCTTGTGTTGTCAAAGCACGCTGTTGCTATGTGCACGTCTACGTTGCCACTGAGAGACAATGTACTTTTGAGCGAGGCTACATGCAATATTATGACTGAAAAAAAGTTGTTCACATGCAATTCCTCCTCAGCAGTGCCTGCCCAATGTAGCAATAAAGCACAGAACATAAACCTGTTGGGCTCCATACGTCCATCCCTGCTTGATGCGCTCTCTGGCCCACACATTGTGATCATTCTCTGCCAGCAAGTTAACCACTTCCTCATGGGCTGGGCTTAAAACAACCTGGCTCGAGTCTACTGGTGCAGGTCTATAGCCACTGGGCTGCTCATACCTGAGAAAGGGAATAAGAATTGGACACAAGTGTATCAAGATTGGAAATGATATTAAACAATTTTTGTAAAATCCGTTGTTAGGGTTTAATTGTGCTTTCACAGTATTAGTCTCATAGTCATTTGATATAGAGCTTCTCCTAGGCAACCTCTTGATTTTGAATTTTACTTGAGGCAACTCACACATGGGGCTACCCCCCCACAAACTTCTCCGATGAGCAAGGGCTCCTCCATTAAACATGTACATACTTATTGGCTAGTCTCATGTATTTGACTCTCTCCTCAGCGTGGTCATCAGTCCAACCAATGTTGAAACCAAGGGCAAGGAGAGTCCTCCAGTGGAAAAACAGACAGACACATTTACTAATCATGAAAACAAGCCCAGACACTGATTAATAATTACACTGCCAAGTGTAAAATTTAAATTGCAAAAGGTCTGTTGACGTACAGTATATATTTGTGTTGAGTGTTTCATGTTTAATGAATTAATCAAAATAATCAAGTATAATAAAGTTTTTGTCTATTGTATGATGTAGGTAGTAGAGCTTACCTGAGGGTGTCCTGAGCCATCTGAAAGTTCTGGTTCCTTTCCTGCTCTGGGAGCTTGGAGAACTCCACCAGACAGGGATCATGCCTCTTAACGTCATCTCTCACCTGTTTGACAAAAGCTAATAATTTTTAACAGGCAGATAAAGTGTAGAGAGCTAGACCAGTCAAATTTCAAGGAAAGCTTTAGATGGTACTCTCAGACACTATGTGACAAGGTAATATAACAATTGATTTTATACAACATTAATTATTGATGTGGTTTTATTTTCTTACAGGGCCGTGTGTCCATCCAAGATCAACCTTGTCCATTGCCCAGAGTTCATGGATATTCTCAGCCATTTTTTCTCGGATATCCAAAAGTTGTGGGGGCAATTCCACCTTTGGAGAGTAACACGAGTAAAGCAAAAGACACTAAACTATATCGAAGGTAAATTTCAAAGGATCAACTTCAAATTCCTAATCTTCCAATTTAATATACATCTAAAATCTCTCTGTACAATTAGTTTTGATTTCAAATTTGTGGAATAAAATAAATAAGATCTGTTTCACTATACTTTTTTTTTACCTTGACAAGGTCTACTGGTGTGGGAGTAAAAGTCACTGGCGTGGCAGGTACTAAGGGGCCAATGAGCTCTTGTATCCCATATCCTTGATCAAAAATGTATTTCTGACATGGCTCTACTTTCAGCTTGACCCTTGGGAGCAGAGCATCAGAGCATGGTGCAAAACCTGGTGGGGGCAAGAAGCGAAACTCCCCGTGCCTTCCCCCAAACAGAAAACGAACCCTGATTTTGAGAAATGGGACAGGGAAGGCATTTACTGTATGCATCAAGGTCGTTGAAGAATGACGTTTCAGTAAACTTTTGACTTCTCTGTAACATTTATTATCCTCGTTAATAAAGAAGAGGGACAGTTTACTGAAAACAAATTACAGGTATTTTTAAATTCAACATTTCAGGTCAACATTTGAGCCATGTAGGCCACTGACTTGACTCCAGCAGAGAAGCTGACCACAGGACAAAGATGTCCATCAGCACTGAAGTTCTCAAACATGCCCTGCACAGGCAAACCGTTGACCCGGAAGGAGATGCAGGGAACACTGAGGTCAAGACAGCAGCTGACCACATCATCATCTTTCAGCAGGTGAGGGAAGGGAGAGCTCACTCTGCGGCCGACACAGCCTGAGATTCAGGGGAGACAGACTTAAAAGCAATTCATATGTTTTTACTGAACTTCTTTGTTTCTACATTTAATCAGGCATTCTGTAACATCCCTAGCGTACATTTTTTAAACTTGCCTGTAAATATATTATGTAGTCTCTGTACCTTAGTTTGTTAAATAATTCAACATTAAGGGATACAAAGCAAAACTGCATGCTGGGTCATTTATCATTTTGGTATTTCTTGTAAATGTTTCCTGTTTAACTGATATCACCCTCTATTCTATCCTAGAAAAGATACATCTATTGTATGCGTGTATATGTACAGTATGTTTACATTATTTTGCTGACAGTTTCTTCTGGTCTATATCTGTACTCTTTATAAATAGCTTGCACTCCTAGATCATAAACATTTCAGTGAGTGATTACCCCAGCAGTACTTCCTGGGGGGGAGAACAAGTATTTGATACACTGCTGATTTAGCAGGTTTTCCTACTTACAAAGCATGTAGAGGTCTATAATTTTTATAATAGGTACACTTCAACTGTGAGAGATGGAATCTAAAACAAAAATCCAGAAAATCACATTGTATGATTTTTAAATAATTAATTTGCATTTTACTGCATGACATAAATATCTGATACATCAGAAAAGCAGAACTTAATATTTGGCACAGAAACTTTTGTTTGCAATTACAGAGACCATACGTTTCCTGTAGTTCTTTACCAGGTTTGCACACACTGCAGCAGGGATTTTGGCCCACTCCTCCATACAGACCTTCTCCAGATCCTTCAGGTTTCGGGGCTGTCGCTGGGCAATACAGACTTTCAGCAAAGATTTTCCATTGGGTTCAGGTCTGGAGAATGGCTAGGCTACTCCAGGACCTTGAGATGCTTCTTACGGAGCCACTCCTTAGTTGCCCTGGCTGTGTGTTTCGGGTTGTTGTCATATACAGGATTTTAATTCATGACGGCGTAGTGTGTTACTAATGGTTTTCTTTGAGACTGTGGTCCCAGCTCTCTTCAGGTCATTGACCAGGTCCTGCCGTGTAGTTCTGGGCTGATCCCTCACCTTCCTCATGATCATTGATGCCCCACGAGGTGAGATCTTGCATGGAGCCCCAGACCGAGGGAGATTGACCGTCATCTTGAACTTCTTCCATTTTCTAATAATTACGCCAACAGTTGTTGCCTTCTCACCAAGCTGCTTGCCTATTGTCATGTAGCCCATCCCAGCCTTTTGCAAGTCTACAATTGTATCCCTGATGTCCTTACACAGCTCTCTGGTCTTGGCCATTGTGGAGAATTTGGAGTCTGTTTGAGTGTGTGGACAGGTGTCTTTTACACAGGTAACAAGTTCCAACAGGTTCAGTTAATACAGGTAATGAGTGGAGAACAGGAGGCTTCTTAAAGAAGTACTAACAGGTCTGTGATAGCCGGTATTCTTACTGGTTGGTAGGTGATCAAATACTTTTGTCATGCAAATTAATTATTTAAAAATCATACATGGATTTTTGTTTTAGATTCCGTCTCTCACAGTTGAAGTGTACCTATGATAAAAATTACAGACCTCTACGTGCGTTGTAAGTAGGAAAACCTGCAAAATCAGCAGTGTATCAAATACTTGTTCTCCCCACTGTACATAGCAATAGTGTGCACTGAATCATGTATCTCTTGTTTGATCTCATCCCCACCTGACCAGAGGTGAAGTCCATCAAAGCCATAGGAGCAGAGGTCATCTCCCACCCCGCTGCCCCCCCAGCCTTCGCCTCCTGTGGGCCTGGGCTGGTAGCCCTCAGTGCAAGCCCAACCAACACGCAGGTGTGTGGGCTCAGATGTGAGGAAAGAGTTGATATGATCCACAACCAGCTCATAGTACCACCTCCGATGCTGAGCTGAATCTTCCCCCATAGCCAATAAGATGTTCGGTCTCATGCTGTGGTGGAGTGATGTGCAGAGAGTACCAAAGACAAACAAAAGGGCAAAAAAGACAGAATATCATAGTTTCCTTTCCGTACATGGTTTGATTGAAATTAATGGTATATTAAAAAGCATTATAAATACTTTCATATGTCTTGTTATAAAATTGAACAGCAATAAGATTATGACTACTACAAAAAACATAAGAGCAGGAAATCATGAGGAAAGAGGAGAAATAAATGCAGTGAATGAAAATCTTCAGAAATGTATTGCTAGTTAAATGCTAGCTTTTTTTAGTCATACCAAAGAGAATCACTGATCTGAAAATCAAATTACAGTCTCTGGTAGATGCTTGTGTGATTTTTACCACACAGACCTGTGTAGAACAATACACTGAATATACAATATGCAGGGAACTCTCTGCAGCCCACACAAAGTACAACTCTCATGGGCACAGTACATTGCATTGTTATTAATGAACCAATACAGAACCAGGCTCTTGTAGAGGTTCTCCTTTTGAACTCCTAATACCAATGCTGAAACTAAATTACCAGAGATAATTTGCAAGCAGAATGTGAGAAACAATAAGACAAAGAGGTAGGTAGACCAGAATATCACCAATATGTTGCTGGAATTAAGTCTGGCAAAGACGGTTGTCTGGAGAATAAATGCCAGTTCATATAGTGACACTAACCTTGCCCTTGACAGAGCTCTCATGAGGGGAATTGAAAGAATGGGAAGAGGACACTGAGAAGAAGGCATGACTTGGTTAAGATGATATAAGAGATTAGATAGAAATAGAAAAGAAGAATGGATTAAAAAAAGAATAGGAAAAATTGCATCTAGAAGAACTGACAAAATGTGGTGGGCAAGGAGGAAAAGATGGAAAAGAGAAAGAAAATAGATGAGATAAAGGAAATGAGAATAAAAACATATGCGCTAATGAGTCATTTAGGTGAACAAGAAGTACAAGTGATAGAATGAGACACAGCTTGAGGAGGGAGAGAGAGCTGGGGGAATGAGCAGGTGTGAAGAACATGAAACAAAATGAGCTATAAGGCCTGAGGAACAAAATGGGTGGCTGATAGAGAAAAGCTTAATAAAAGAAGGCAGCTGCTGGAAAAAAAAGGACAGGGGGGAAAAATGCTCAGATGAAAATGGTAGTGGAAACTGCCTACAAGATCAGACTGGAACAGAGGGCCAAAATATTGAGACAACATGAAATATGATGAAACCATCTGAAAAGTGTCCCAAGATTAACTCTGCAGTATTCCATCTCAGGCAGCGGGCAACTTTTCTAAAGTCTCATTGGAAGAGGAGGAGATGAAGATATCTGCTCTGCAACAGTTTTGGTCTGATCTATTCAGACAAAAAGAATTGGTGCAGCAAATGAAGAGACGATACAAGTAATTCTTGTAAGTTAAAGTGGTGGTATTATGCTTTTTGGCTTTTTCCCTCTCCTTTATTGAGTTATATATCTTTTTTGTGCATGTAACAGGTTCCCAAAGTCCAGCCCAAAGGGAGTTCCCATCTCCCTCAGAAAGCTCTGCTCTGAACCGCTTGAAAACAGCTCGTTTGTAGTCCAGCCATTCACTTCCTTTACTTGTGACGTCACAATGAAAACGCGTCATAAAGCTTGCCAAGCAGCTAGCGGGGGTCAGGCACGCCCTCAAACCAAGCTAGTCTGAGCGGAGGTCCTTTGGCTCAACTCGCCTTTGTTTGGTTTTCCACTGTAGAAATGTTGTACCTGTACCAGGTACTTTTTTCACCTCCGTCGAGGTTCCAAGCGAGCTGAGGGAAACTAAAATGTAATGTGAAAACACCACAGACTGCTGATTGGTCAGAGACAATATTCACTATTCACTGCATCATCAATGCTGCACCAGACAGAGGCCAGCAACAGAAAGTTTTATATTTTACAGTTTTCGTATATAGTTTCATCACTAAATCCACTTCTGAGAAGTTTTGAGGTGAAGAATCAGCTGTGTAGATTTCCAATATTGACAGTTTTACGAGAAGTGATGGCGGAACAAAAACGTGCTTGAATATTGTTGGAGTTGAGGAGCTCCGCAAGAGGCTGCGGGGGAAGCCTGTACCAACCCGCGGGAGGAGCGTGTGAGGCCGGCCAGCTGCCCGCTCACAGAGCCCTCTGCTCCCGCCGTCACACAGACCGCTGCAGCAACAACAGCAGAGGGAAAACACAGCTGGAAGGTTTTCATACCGCTTATCTGTCTTTACATTTGTTTTAACTTAAAAAAGAGAAAGCTGTGTGGATCGCTGGTGTGTGTGTCGCATTGAACATTACGTCGCGGCAGTTGTGTGTGGCGTCGCTATGACGACAAGCTATGTTCTATCTCTGGGTACTATCTGCAATGAAAAAACGGAGCAGGGGCCGAGTAGAGTCGAGTCTATCGATTTGCGCTAAGGTAGCATTTTTCGGCAAGGCAGCATAACGTTGGATCGTCACACCACCGGCAACAGTTCAACGTTAAGTCCTAAAAAACGATGCAACTCTGTTTGGGCCTGGAAATTCATAATCACAACCTGTAAGTATGCTTTATTGGCTGTGAATTGTATTTAAAATAAACACGGCAATGTAACTTTACAGACTGTTCAAGTGCAGAGTTGTAAACGTTGGCTATCACAGCTAAAGTTATAGCTATAATGCTAATGTTACACCTGATGTGAAAGCTACTGAGCAAACGTTCAAATTGTTTGGCCAATTTTTATGTAAAATTGAGTTGAAACATGGTGACTTTTGTAGTGGTTTATGGTAAGATGTGGAAAAATGATGTTGTGTGGTTGTGGACTTCTGAGTTACTTATACCATGCGTTAGGTTACGGCCGCTAATCCAGCAGATGTGCAACTCCCAACAAAGATTTAAGAAGTAAGATGCATCACTCTGTAGCTCAAGAGCGGAGCGTACAACACATAGGGTGAAAAGAGGAGCTGCAGCAATGTCCAGTATGAGAAAAATATGGTGTTTTTTGAAAATTAAACCATGTAAACCTGTTCTGGTACAACCCCTAATTAAGATTTTGAACCTGAAAATGAGCATAATACCACCTCTTTAAGTCCAACAGAGAAAAGATGTGTTCTGTGCTCAGATGAAATTACTAAGGGGAGAATATTTCTTGTACCAAGGATGTGGACAACATTACATCTTCAATAAAAGGATACCAAGGCTTTTACAGTTGACAAATAGCCCCCAGCTAAATACATGCATAAGAAAGCAATGAGAAGAAGGACTCACTCAGTGGTGGCTTCAAGAGTTAATAAAAGCAAGGACAGCATATTGGAGGATGCATTCTGCAGCCCAGATACATTTTAAACATGCTCTTTTGTTATAGCAAATCATATTTCTGATTTTCAAATCTTTTATGAAACTTTGGCATGTCAGATTTTTGTGTATAGTGAATTACAGAAAAAAAACAGACCTAAATAATCTAATGTAATCTAAAGACCTAATCTAATGCTGGAAATTCAGAAAAACACTGAATTTATCGGCATATAAGAAGAATAAGAATGACACATAGACAAAACAAAGTAGTCCTATTAGGAGAAAACATTCTAAATTGTACCTGGTGACCTGATTAGCCAGACGTGTTTGGAGCAGCAAGTCTCTGTCTGGCAGCAGGTTGTCACAGATGAGGTTCTGATTAGACCGCACCGCCACACCATGGCACACACACAGAGAGCACAGCACCTCCAGCACCTGGAACACAACCTGTCAGCACTTCATCCAGCAAAAGCTCCATAAACACATGGAAATGATCTCATATTAGGGAACAGATCAAAAACTGCAATTACAGCCACGATACTTGTGTCTGTTTTTGCATAAGTGAAAAATCAGTTCCTTCCCAAACCATGATGCATGAATAACATTTAGTGACATTTACACAAGATTATAATGGTGTTATGTGACAAAATATTATTTAGCTGCGCATACTGCATTTTAGCCAGAAAATACAGAAATAACATGGCAATAATAACTTTTAACTTCTCTTTTTTCAAGCTTAAAGAAAACCCTTGCAAACTACCTTGTGGTTGCATCCATGCTTGTCTAGAAAAGAGATGATAGAATGAATGTGTCCTTCTTTGATGACATTGAGTGCTTCAGGACTTTCCACTAGGACACACTGCAGAACCTCCAGGACTCCTGTACATTAAAGTATGCAACTGTTCATTTCTGTACTGAAGTTACACTGTACTTACAGTATATATATTTTCTATATTTTGCTATGCTGATGAAATTCCCACAAATCCAACAAACCAGAAGAGGCCTCCAGCCAGTCCAGCCTGCTTATCAGCCAGTCCAGAGAACCTGAGAAATGTGCACAGTTTACACGGTTTCCCCGGATCAGAGCAGCTGAAGGGGAAAAAAAATAAGGAAACATCAGAAGAGGATTCACAATACTTAGCCACAAAGGCAAACACAACCCATGCATTTCATGCAAAATGGCAGAATTCAAACCATGTGTTTTAAGCTAAATGCAATTATACAAGTCATTAACGGCTTAGTAGATATAAACAGGAAAATCTGTTTGGGTATCTGTCACTAGTATATAATCAACTGGTATTGATGCATCAATACAATACAAGATGTGTGTTAATTCTTACCCAATAGGTCATAGAAACGGTTGATGATGGTCTCCCACTCTTCTCCCGTGTCACTGTGAGCAGCCTCAGCAAAATGAGAAGCACTAATACATTGGTGTAGATGGTCAATACAATCTAGAACCAAATCTATCACACCCTGAGAAGAAAAGAGGAAATACTTATGGAACAGGGACAAACATATCACACGTAGAGTTCTTTTTATTCATACAAAAAAATGTACCTCTTCTTGAAACATGTTCTGCCGATTATTTAGAGCCATCATGTTCTTCTGTTTATCTTCATGGTGTAGCCCCTCTGGTGGAGGCTGGAAATAGTTTATAAGATCCTGCAGACTACGTGTTACCATCTCCACTGGCAGGCTGACAGACGTGACGTTTCCTTGTTCACTAAAACTATCCAGTTTCCTAAAGAAAAGGCGGGTTAAGTATAATGCAACAATAGAGCAACAATTATATGAATGTAACTACCAGACTTTGAAATTTTGACTGATATGACTAACCCTAGCAATTTTCTATGATACGTATGCTAACTTATCCTTAATCAGGGTTCTCCTGTGTATGACACCCTCTATCAAGTAGCACTCGTATACGATTGATTGACATTTATTTTTGTTTTTAAAGAAAGAAAACAGAAGGTGTGACAGGGTTTTCTCTCAGTGCAGTGAAGTAGGAGACTTAATTATACAACTTGAACTTTGTAAAAGCATGGTTGCATTCCCATTGTATTTTGAAAATTTCTGGCATTCTGAAAAAGTCTGTCATAGTAGAACTTGGTATTTTGTGTGTGTGTGTGTGTGTGTGTGTGTGTGTGTGTGTGTGTGTGTGTGTGTGTGTGTGTGTGTGTGTGTGTGTGTGTGTGTGTGCAACATTTGAAGTCCATTACCATGGCACATTTTATACATAGCCATAGAATGTGGATGTTCTGTGATACCTAAATCTAGCACCACTCGTATACAACACGGACATAAACCAGACGGATTTTTAAAGCTCAATATTTGAGGGTTTTAAAAAATATTTTGCGTTGGCCGATATAAATATTCTTTTAAACATAAACATAATGCTGAAACGTATCACTTAGATTTCTTTGTTTATTTAAAGAACTGTGAGCAAGATACATACCGAGAGGAATATTTTACAGTTAAAGGAAAGTCCTATATCATTGTAACCATGTCTCTATCACTGTGGTATCCACAGTTGACTGAGGGTCTAGATATGGCATCCAGTACCTGATAAAGCGAGTGAAGAGGAGAATAGCACTCCGGATGAGTCTGGCAGTGTGAGATTCTTCGCTCTGAGAACGAGACAGCGTCAACCCATCATCCATATGACCCTCGCTGTGTAAAATAGCCTGGAAACACATCATTGAATTGAATTGATTTGAATCCTATTGATTCTATCACTATATTTAAAGTGCATCTCAGAACATTAATTTAAAAAGGTTAACCTTTCGCTGAGCCACTCCCATACGTGTAGATTTGGCATCAACAGCTTGGTAGGTGAGCCAGAGCCCAGAGTTTACATGCTGAACATAACAAATGGAGTCTCCATACTTGATCTCTGGGATCCCCATGCCATCAACATCAGTCTTTGTGCCAGTGTCAGCTTCTCCTATAGACAAAAATCTACTGTTACTCGACCTTCAAGTCTGCAGTCTATATAAACCTCAGATTACGAAACTGATCAAGGCAGACTTAAAACAGTTCAGTGTATTTCTCCTGTGAGTCCTCACCTTTGATGATCGAAAACAGAAGGAGGTTGTGTTGATGTCAGCCTTGTCCCGATCAACCAGATACAGGCCCTTCTCCTCTGTAAGACCCAGGTATCTCCCAGAGGTCATATGGCAGAGTCGGAAAGGCTGCCCCCAACATGTGTGTCTACCACTCCAACTGAGGAATATCAAGAGCATTGTGTTTTTGTTGCTTTTCTTTTCCTTTTAAGGAAAATGAACAGTCCAGAATATTTAATGTTTTCTTTTTATTATTGAAATGGCAGGGGAGCAGGCATGGAATACACAATTCTAATGCCATTCTGGGCCAGTGATATTAAACGTGTTTCTAGGAACACTGTACAACTGCCGTGGGTGAAAACAGCAGAAAGAGAAATTCTGGGCCCTGCTCTTGCAGTTATAAGTTGCACTATGTGCAACATGATACTGACTCCCTCTATGGTCTAACAACAATCAACTACTGTGTGTATTTGTGTATTATTTTCTTGCCAATGAGACTATACATACTATACTATATATACACTCAAAATTTTGAGTGTTTTGTTTTCCAATAAAAAGTTTAAAACTATAAAGCTTAACATACAATTTTTATATAGGCTAAATATTACTTTAAACTGAGACTGAGTGCATCGTCACATGCTATGTATACTTACACAACACGCAGGATCTCCAGCCTCCAGAGAGAGCGGGCATGGCTGGAGACTGATCCAATCTCATAGTGCATTATCCTAGATTAAGAAAAAAGACAGAGACAGAGGTAAAGGACATTTTATCTAGCTGACATGAGAGACGACTGGTCTTTTCAACTGACCTTTGCAGCTCTTCTCCCTGCTCTGCGGATGGAATAGTCAGACACGCGTCACTATGGCTGTGGAGCAGTCGCAACGTGTCGCCCCCCTTCAGGTATCCTAAAATTAGCACAACAGACACCAGACATAATCTCCACTGAAAGAGACATTCAACTGCATCTTCAAAACAGGCCATTAGTTGGCTGTAACTGTTATCTAAACAATGGTAATTGCTCCAAGTGAAATAACACAGAGGGTATGTCAGCTAGAATACCTCTTTAATCAATCACTTGGATTATATCATTTTAGACAGATTTGTTTTTCAATCTTTTAAGAGAGCAAAAAGTAAATAAACTTACCTTGAGCAACTCCACCTCCAGAGCAGATGGGAGCAACACTCCACAGAGTGTGCTGGAAGGCTGCGTTAACAATCAGGCTGTCACTCAAGTTTCTGTTGTCAAATACACTGCCAAAGGACAGGTGCTGGGAAGAAACAAAATGGTAATAGCAAGAATGGGCTCATCAACATTGAATGAAACTTCTGATTTTTCTTCTACAATAGCTGTTATCATAAGCAATTATGCTAAGCATCTCATCAGAGGCAGACACAATACAGATTGACTTAATTTTGTATTTGGCAAAGGAAATGAAACCAATGACTTATAAATGGTAGTTTCTGATTCTGCAAAGCTCAGGGTAAGATGGAGAAGAAATGCAGTGGAAAAGAAAACACATTCAGTTTACCAGCTTTAAATGCTTACTTAGCAGTCTTTTGTTATTTCTTCAAACAAATAACGGGGTAATGGTGTTTGTCATTTGATGTGGTCTGAAAGCAGATTTTTGCCATCTTAACTTTGCTCATTTACAGACTCACCAGATATCTCTCTGAGGAAACACTGACCAGTATGAGGTCATCTCCAACACGCACTTTCTCACCTTCTGACCTCTGTCTGGATGCTGGGTGAACAGTCCACCAACATGCCTCACCTTAGCCACAAACAGAATATATACAAAGTTACGATTTTACAGTACATGCTTGATGAAAAATGCTTGCAGCTACAAACAAACCAAAGTATATTAGAATTAAACAAAGAGAATAAGGTGTGTTGAAATGCATAAATATAATTAATAGACACAGTTAAGAGCACAAATATTACAATTATTAACTGTTAAAAAGGTCCAAAACTAAATACCTGCTTTATCCTCTTGGAGACCAACATCAAAAGTCAGCTTGTCAGTCGAAGACTGTGATGAAGACAAGCAGCTGAGATACTGCAAGCAAATATACATTTCAGTGACTATATGAAAACATTTTCTTTTTATAGTTGATATAGAACTATTTGCCATCAGCAAGTGGGAAAAGTAAGATGGAAAACTTCTGATTTATGTCTGCATTACATCAAGATGACTCACCATGCCACTGTATGAGTGTAGGAACAAGACTGCCTGGCCATAAAGAAGGGTGCGATGGCTTCCTCCAGCTCCCACCTGTAAATCACAATTATATATGATAGATCTCTAAATATTAAATAAAAAAGTGCAAACAATTATCAATTTAAATAATGGGAAATAATAATTTAATAATGTGTGCCTCATTTTGTTTCTCAATCTCAGTAACGCGCGTTACATAGCGTTTTAACCCGTAATTAAGTGGTGTTTTTTTAATAAGTCACCATTTCAGCACCAGAAAAACAAATCCATGAGTAAAAGAGTAACGTTATTTCCTGTTGCGGGAATCCGATGGTTGAAACTGTAGGCAGTGTGCAAACTACAGGGGAGCTTGGCTCCTCTTAACAAGACGCTCCCCTGCCCTGATGGATCATGCCTAAATAGATATAGGCTATGATAGATGTGTTTGTGCTTTACAAAGTCAGCTGTTTCTATTTAACAAATTACTTTCATGATCAGAGAGATCAGTCAGGGGATTCAAATAATCAGTGACGTTATGCTGCTGTACCGCGTGCGTAAATGCGCACAGCGTCTTTCTTAATGGGGACACAATTCATCCTATTTCACCCATCCACCCCGCCCCACACTCACTTTTAAATTAAGTAATGCAAAAGTAGTGTAAAGCGTGAATGACAGCACACCTGGAGACACCACCGGACACTGAACAGAACTCTGCCTCACTGCCACAAACAACCGTCTCCACCTGCTGGCATGTAAAGCCGTCTGCTCCCAGCGCTGTTCTACAGACTTCTATTCCTGTCATCATCACGCATAGACCAGTAAACCGAAATGTGTACATCCCACATAGAAATCATAGCAATCTTATAAGGATTAGGACAACTACACCAACACCAGCACCCAAAACAAACTCATTTAAAATGGCTCTCTTCAATGTGAGATCTCTGTCAAGTAAGACTTTTATCTTAAATGATTTTATCTTGTCTGCAAATCTAGATTTTATGTTTTTAACTGAATCATGGTTGCAAATGAATGACTATAGCCAGCTAGCTGAACTGAGTCCGCCTCACTATGATTGTTTTAGTCAACCGAGGGTCAGTGGTCGTGGTGGTGGGTGGTGTGTCATCAAGTACGCTGTGATGAATTTAGCTCCTTTGAAGTTCTCACTCTTAAAGTTGGAGGGCTGCAACCTATCATATTTGTTATAATTTATCGTCCCCCAAAACCGCCTGGAGGATTTTTATCAGAACTTCCTGAATTTTTATCTACTCTGGTTTTAAATTATGACAGAATTGTTCTTTGTGGCAATTTTAATATTCATGTTGATGACCCCACCAATGTTAATGCAACTGACTTTTTAAATATGGCCACTTCTTTTAACTTCAAACAACATGTCAAAGGGCAAACACATAACTGTGGTCATACACTGGACTTGGTTTTTACCCTGGGTGTCAGCATTTCCTCTGTGGAATTAGTGGACATGACCATATCTGACCACAGATGTATTGTTTTTAGCTGCGGTTCCTCACCAGCAACAAGACAGTTTTAACCAGTTTTATCCCATCGACTTGTCTGAGCTTTTAAAAACAGTATCACAAATGAGAGTGTCCTCCAGCCCACTTGATGTAATACCTACAAAGTTTTTACTGAAAGGAATGGATTCTGTTGGGCCCCATTTGATCTCTGTTTTTAACAGCTCCCTATCTACTGGTTACCTACCCTGATTATTTTAAACGGCTTACATGAACCCACTTTTAAAGAAACCTGGTTTAGATCCCTCCCTCCCACAAAATTTTAGACCAATTTCAAAACTGCCTTTTATTGCAAAGATTTTAGAAAGAATTGTGTCCAAACAGCTGCTCACTGTACTGGAAAATAACAAATTATTTGAAAGGTTTCAATCTGGTTTCAGGAAGTACCACAGCACTGAGACTGCCCTGCTTAAAGTCACCAATGACCTTTTAATGTCTGCTGATGAAGGTATGTGCTCAGTCCTGGTACTCCTGGACCTTAGTGCTGCTTTTGACACCACTGATCACAACATCATGTTAGACGTTGAGGCACTGGGTGGGGATCTCTGGTACTGCCCTAGAATGGTTTTCATCCTACCTGTCAAATAGGAAGTTTTACGTGTCTGTAAACAACTATGTCTCTTCGTTCTGTCCAGTTAAATATGGTGTGCCTCAGGGGTCGGTCTTAGGACCCATTTTGTTTTCCTTGTATCTGCTTCCCCTTGGACATATTATCCATAAACATGGTATTTCTTTTCATATTTATGCTGATGACACACAAATGTACTTGTCCGTCAGATCCACAGACCCTGGAATGCTGAGTTCACTTAACAACTGCCTTTGTGAAGTAAAAAAATGGATGTCAAATAATTTCCTCCAGCTGAACTCAGACAAAACATAAATCCTGGTCATCGGGTCCCAGCAGATGGCAAAACAAATACTGCCATCTGCTGGTTCCCTAGTAAATCACATTAAGCCTGTTGCAAAGAATCTTGGTGTCTGGTTTGATAGTAATTTAAATTTTGAGCAGCACACCACAAAGCTTGTTCAATCATGTTTTTATCAACTTAGAAATATAGCAAAAATTCTTCCCAATACAGACACCAGAGTTACCCCACAGTGATAAATACCCTTGCATGGTGTGCGTAAGTTTAAACACTTTGTGGGCTCTGACCCAGACATCCTTTGCGTGTAAAAGTACCGGGTTTGTAATATTAGACCCTTTTTGAGACAATACTTCTATGGGTCTAAAAGGTGAACATATTGCCTTTTCAATATCCATCCAGGCTGCTTTGTCCTCCATAACATGCCAGTATCTCGCTAATTTAGCCATCTCAAAGGCCAGGCAGTACAATCTTAGATCATGGAGGCCCAGCCCCCCGTTCTCTTTATGTGCACATAGCTTTCTCAGTTTAATTCTTGTTTTTTTACCACTCCACAAAAAATGTTTTACCATGTCATCAAGTTGTCTAAATATAGTAGATGGTATTTTAATTGGAAGCATCTTTGCCACATAACTAAACTGCGGAGCAATTAACATTTTTATGATATTAACTTTTCTCACTTCTCGAGGTTCGTTTTAATCTTCTGAAGTAGGGGGTTAAAATTCAGTGTCACCATTTCATCTATATTCTCCGAAAGTTTGATTCCCAGGTATTTCATTCCCTTGCGCAACCACCTGAATTTAAACTTCTCTACCATAGATGAAAGACACAATTTGGAAAGTGGCATCGCTTCTGATTTATTCCAGTTGATGGCATAGCAAAAATTTAGAAAACGATTGAACGGTATTCATCAACTGTGGTAAAGATGTTAAGCGGTCAGAAACTACTGCTAAAATGTCATCCGCATATAGTAATAACTTGTGTTCTTTACCTCCACCCTCAACTCCTCTAATTTCAGGGTGTGCTCTGATAGACACTGCTAAGACCTCAAGAAAGTAATAAACAATAATGAGCTCAACAGGCACCCCTGGCGCGTGAAATTTGAATTAAAGCCGAAATAGGACAGGGTGGAAGCAAGAATTGCCACTCCACCTTGTCAAATGCCTTCTCCTCATCGAGTGAAATGGCAGTAACTGGGGTGTTTTGAAATCGGCTCAGCCACATTAAGTGTAACAAAAGTCTAACATTGTCAGTTGAAGTTCTATTTTTCTATTTTTGCTAAGATTTTAGTCAGAATTTTACAGTCGAGATTGAGCAAACTTATAGGCCTATAATTGATCTCTCGTCAGGTCCGGGAACACAGATAGCCAGCATTTTTCCCACACAAACCCCCGCTTTTCTTTAGCTGCACTGACCACCTTATCCCTTGCTGACTGCCTTAGAAAGCAGATCAAAATGAGTCTCGGGGGCTGGTCCATATTCGGTATTGGTGCCGGCTGCCTGTGGACCCCTTCAATCTCCAACTCCTCGTCTATTTCGACACCAAGACCCTCCGATAGAATCTGTTGTATACAGCCATGCAGCGTCCCGTTGGTACCAAAGGTCTCCTTCAGTCCCACAAGTCTTACGTTATTCCGCCTGCACTGGTTTTCTAGAGCCTGCATTCGGTTCCACATAGCCTCTGTAAATTTATCAGTGCAATGGCAGAAATGACATCTTATGAATGTATGCTGAACAGATTAAGTGATAACCTTAGGGGAGGGGTGAACCTTTGGGAAATGTTTTGGGACTATGTAAAGGTTGGTGATAAATCTGACTAAGATTTGTTTATTTACTTGGTTGTTTTAACGGAACCCTGTTATACTGTGATACCTTTGTAATGTGGTCGAATAATCTTTGTTAGTGTTAATCCACTCCCATCGATATACACTGCTCCATCCGTTTGTGTTCATTGGACTATAATGCCAGAGTTTGTCTCCAGAACAATTGTATGTTCTTGTATCTTACATGTTCCTGTATGTTGACGCAAAATATGTCAGCCATGTATCAATACTGTGTAAAATTCAATAAAAATTTGTATTCAAAAAAAAAAAAAAAAAAAAAAAAAAAAGCTCTTCATGGCTTCTGGCCTTGTTATATTTTTGACCTTTTAGTCCCATACACAATGGCAATTCGACTGAAAACTAAAGGGGACAGAGCGTTTGCTGTCAGTCCCTTCTTAAAACACTTTTATAGGAGAGACTTTCCCCATCTTATTTGACTTTATCCCTTTTATTTTATTCTATTTAACTTGCTTTTGAAAAGTGCTCTACAAATAAAGATTATTATTATATTATTATTAATTCAGAGACAGTAATATTGTAATATAACTAATTACTCTCATATGACTAGTAATCTATAATCGGATCGCATCAGGTGCTGGATGCTAAGTTGCTTTCAGGGGAAGTCGGAATTTATCCCCTTGTGAATGTGTAAACACAGCGATATAAAGGCCTTCATGGTGTATTCCTCAGAGAAATTACTGCTTTTAAAAGAAAGACATTTTTCCACAGCAATATCAAGAAAGAGAGCTTCCATTTTCCAGAGTTTACACAGTAAACACCATGTGGCTGAAATTTTACAGATGATACTCTGAATTGCAGTTCCATTGAAGGCAGCACTGAGCTGCGCCACAAGAAGCTGACAGAAACACAGAGAGAAGAGTTGTTACGATTCACACAGCCTTGTCCAGTCGCAGAGGAATAAACTGACAGGTTTTAATGTTGCAGACCACAGTTTTAGTAGTTGAAAGTTTAAACTGGTATTGTTATAAATCTTTGGTGTAAACTTGCCTTAAAACTTTCACCTCAACAAACTCTCCCCAAAAGCAATTCAGCGCCCCCCTTTCCAAAATATTGCTTCCAGCACACCCCATCATCTTCCGAACGCCCCCTGGGGGGCAGTACCGCCCCCGCTGAGAAACTACTGTAGTGTCTTGATATTCCAATGAATCACTTATGATCGTGGTCATTCGTACCATAAAATCATCATATGAATGTCACAATGACATTGATAAACAGCAAATATTATCTGTTTCAGGAGTGTTGAGAGGCAAACGGAGAAAAGAAGAGCAGAGAAGACTCTCACCTCTGCAGCCAGGTGCTTACTGTGGGCCAACATCTCCTGCAGGGCTCTAACAGAGAGACACTGGGCCAAGACAAAACCACATACAGACAGGTCTGGTGGAACATTCTGTGAGAAATAAAAAAACAAAAACAAAGGAGCAGGTGTCATTGGGGTAGTTTCTTATCTGTCTCCTCCCTCCAAAGGCCAACAATGTAATTAGCAGTGACAAGATCCACAGCAAATTGGGAATTGGGCAGTACAAATGGGGAGAAAAGCAGGAAAACAAAAAAATCAACAAATACATACATTATGAAAAGATGTTGAATAAATTAATAAATAACATGACTGAAATATTATGAAATATTAAATGTGATAAGTTAGAGGTGAATTAGTAGTAGAAAACAACAAGAAAAGAAGCGTAAAGATACCGAAGAATAACATACTGTTCAGACACAATTAGCAGACATTCTTTAAAACTTTATGTAGAAGGACAGACTGATGTCAAAATGTCAACAAGCTTCTGGTATTATAGTTTGAATGATTACTATATATATTGGTGTTAAACATACAGTAATTTTGTACAGATCAAATACTGTTGAACTTTCAGTGAATTATTCATTTGCATAATTTTACACATCTCTCTTTTATTATTACAAATCAAAGGTGATGAGGTGTGGCAATAATTGACAAATGGGTTGCTCTGGCAATGAGAAAACGTGTGCAATCACTGAGGTGGAGCTCTTTACCTTGCAGTTAGAAGTGACTCGAGCCTGCAAAGTCTGCTGCCAAATCCCTCAGCAGCAAGACAGAGCTTTACTTGTTCCTCCTGGGAGGTGAAGGTACTCTGCAAAACCACCTCGTCTCCCTGAGAAAAACACATCACAGAGATGACAGCAGCAAGAGCAAACTCCCATATGAGTTACAGATTCCCATATACTAAAAAAAAAGACCACATTCATAGGGCGAGTGCAAATTAAGATTCAGCTGATTTGTTTGTGAATGCCAAAGCTGATATAAGTAAATTACAGGATTTCATAGTGCCAAAAGAAATTCAAGCACTCAGTTTTCCCCCTGAAATACACAATTTTGACTAAGGTTCTGAAGCATCATTTAGACACTACAACTTCCTACTGAACGTCATATTTATAGAATTCTTTTAGGAGAGTTAAGATCCCCATTCAGTGCCAGCATGAAATTGATTAGGAATCCTGTAAACAATCCCACAAGAATAAATGACAGTAAGGCAAAAAGACATAAATGGCAGAAACTCTGAGCAAACTGCACGAAAACATACAGTATTTTTAAAATGATCCGTTGTCACTGAAGGTTTTACATACGGTTTTTATTTAAGTGTATTCAAGAAAGACCGTCAGTCATACTGGCATGACTTTTCAGGGCTCTATATTCCCACAACACAGAGTAATATGTCTTCCCTCGCTGATCAGGTGACGTCAGTTTCAGGAGTCGCATTCTCCCAGTTAAACCTTCATTCATATCAAATCAATAAATTGAGTTTAAGCGAATTCAATCCTGGAGATTGGATAAAATCCTATTAAACCCCAAAGCTAATTGCAACTGCGCACAAGAATTAGCAGCCTCAAATAGTTTGAAAAGAAATTCAATAATGAAGAAGCAGAAACAACAATGTATTTTTGCCATTTGTTAGGTCCAATGTACATCCTATATCTTTGGTAATCTCTTGGCCCTGTACCTTGTGCACGCTGTATGCTCAATTTAAAAAGATTGATGCATTCATGTTACTTCTCAAAACAATTTCTGTGCCCCTAAATGTAAGAATAGAGCTGATGATTATATATATCAGTAAAACATGGTCTAGCCCTACAGTAAATGCATGTACAGTAGCTCTGTCACATAAAATTTATCTTATCTCCATTTAAATGCCAAATGGACCATGTGAAAGGAATTGGGCTTTTCACTTCTATTTAAGGAATTGTAGAAAGGAACAACAGAGGACTGGTCTGGAAAGTCCAGCCAGGACACCTCTCCATACCTCCATTTTGGGAAGATACTGCACTGTCTGACCCCTGATTCACCCTTCTTTCCACTCCTCATATCAGCAGTACTCTGCAATCTGTCAAACACATTGCCCAACGAGGCACTGTGTGGCATTCAGATGGCCAGAGCACTCAGCTCTTCTTCAAGGTGCATTTGGTAAGTGAAAATCCAAATGTCGAAAGCCGTGGCAATTCGAAATGCATGTTCATTCGGCTGCAACCGGCTATAAAAAGTCATGTTTTGGATTTGAAATTGATGCTAATCTTTTTTTTTTTTCAATTTGTACAATACAGTGTTTCCTGTGCGGTTTTATAGTGCATGTGGACCACACTGCCTCAAACAAAGACCACGTCCACTACCACCATAAAAAATAACTGTATTTTTATTACAAGAACCAGAAGTGCTGCCTTTGCATAAATACCATATTTAACAAATGTGTTTCTGCTGTCATCTACTAAATTGAAGATGATGATTTGTCAGGATCTGGGTGGCTTCCTGCCTCGGCTGAACATTTTCCTTGGAGAAACCCTGTATTTAATGTAATAATGTATGACAGATATCTACAGTGCTATTTCATATTGTGGATCGATCTTGCAAAATGACTTCGCCCCAATCTTGATACTGTGTTCAATTGTCTCATATCCACCCCAGATACTCCCTGTAATATGCCCTTATCAGAGGGCAATGATAACAAGCTGTGAGAGGACAACTTACAACTAGGGAACAATGATAGCATCTTGCAGTTAAGATGAGAAAGGCCATTTGCAATCTTCCTTTAGTGATGGTGTCAAAACAAGTGACAAAGATGGCAAAAATGCTGCGGAGATCTGATTTACAAATTAAATCTTATAATAGTTACTATATGCATCTTTTGTTACTTACACTAATAAATAATAAAAAAAGAAACATGAAATTAACAACTTTTATGTTACAGCAACGCATCATAAGGTCACACTTTATTTTGACAGACCCATGCTTACTGAAATTAAACCAAGATCTAGTAATGTTTAGTTACGTTTCTACAATAATGACTCACTAATTAATATTAAAACTAAGGTGATATGTTTTAAATAGTAGAAGTAATTTCAGTCTGTAAAGATGCAGCATGCATGGATTTGGACCAATTTGTTAAGTTGCACCTTAATGAGAAGTTACTTTTTGTATCCTGAGACACTAATGTTAAACTACTAAGTATCTTCAACCAAGTCCAGTTGCCTTTGACTCTAACCTTCTTTGGATACACAAATAAAGTGTTATATTTAAAATATGAATTAAAATGAGAAAGATATGAGATGTTGACTCACTGCCTCTCTCCCAAAGAGCCAGGTTATGTTACTAATTGTTTATCTAATTGTTGGCGCTGTTAGCTAAGGTTAAGTCAGTTTAGCTAGACAAGGCATTAACCATTAACTTTACATTTAAGGGCAGTTTAAAAAGTGGTTGACTTACCGTTCGTAGAAACTGAAATTCATCGTCGCCCTCTCCAGTGTTAGTCATTATTTTAGCGACACAAGCCACATTAGACAGAGTTAAGCAATAACGACGGCACTGACAGGGAAAGAGGAAGACTGGAGAAGCAGGAGAACGAAGATGTGCAGCCGGTGTGGGTGGAGTCTGCTGTTAAGATCTGGGCCTCCCGTGACTCCATTTTGGCGGGAGTACTTTGTCAGTGAAGCTTTGATGTGCTAGCATGTAGCTATGGTGACCAGACCTCCCGAAAAATTCGGGACAGTCCCGAATTAGGAGCAGTTGTCCCGACTCCTGTCCGGTTTGTCCCGAAAATTAGACTTACCGTGAGTTTTGATTATAGCCTAATTAAACATCCTTGTGTAGTTCTCAGGCTCCAGCAGGGGTTGCAGGTTGTCTGTACATTGTGTCAACAGCATGTAACAAAATAAGTGTAGCTTCAGGCAGCCACGGCAGAGATCTGACACGCGCGTTGCCAGACAGATGTGACACGAAATGAATAAAATTAAAACTTAAAAAATTGGGTAAAAGATCATGATTTACCCACTGTTACATATCCACAGTTGTTTTGTTTGTCCTAATGAACAAAAATAATTAGGTAATTTTAGCATTGTATTCCCCTCCCCCACTCCAGACCCGAATTTCATCCATTCTCATCTGGTCACCCTACATGTAGCATCCATTTACCCTCAGGAGCTCATAGTTCACTTTATGTCACAGGTTATTAATCTGTAAACATCACAAATTAAATTGTTATATTATATATGTATTTTTTAGCCCTGAGAGGCTCTATGAAAAGCTAAACCATTAATACATTGTTCTTTCCATCCAACAGTTTAATATAACAGGGTGAAGGAATAATTGCAGCCTCTGAAGATCATATTGCAGATGTCACCTTTCTACAAAGTCTGAACTATTTTACCAATTAAAAAATATGCTTTACTGTATGGCCAATTGTATTGAAGTTCTTCTTAGCTTGTAAAACTGTACTTAAAATGTAGCTTAACTAGCACTGCCACTACAGCCCACACAACCCATCTCGCCAGTGTCTTATCCCAGCCGTACAGTATGTACTGTATTAGTCTTTTTACCTGTAACTGTTGATCACATAAATGCTAATTATAATCTCATACCGATAAGAAGAATTTGACATAGCCTACAGAAACATGATTATGAATCAAAATAAAGGCCTGTTGTCTTGCTATTTTTACAACTACTGATGTAACACATCTTTTTAACAGCATCACTGTCTAAACACCGACATAGAATAAGCTGATGTTTAGTGTCAGTCCTGGTACTAAAGGACTTCTCAATCAGTTCGGTTGACAGAAGGTTCCAGTCTAGTAGACTTTGGCGATGGGGCTTTTGTTTACATGTGGATTACGGCTTTATTTATTCTCAGATATGCAGACAAATTGCAAATGACAGACATAATACATGCAATGATTTCTCAGGTTGAAAGTCTGAATTCGTCACAAGCACTTTATTTAATTAATTCATTACCCTCAAGTACAAAGTTTAACTCACTGAATTCTGTGATAACTGAGCCAGCAAATGCCTTTGAGGCATCAGTACAGCCTGAGCATCTTAATTTTCCTATCAAACTACAACAAATCAAACCTTTAGAGATTGGTGTTGTCAAACAATGTTCATTTGTTACAGTAAAAATAAACTTCTCTTTTAAAGGGAACTGCTTGCATCTAAATATTAAATTAATATAGTGTGCTCCGGTGCCTTGTGTTCAGTTGTGTGAAGTGGCCAATGATCCTCTTGACAGAAAATGCCATTACTTTCACAGTATTTTTGCATTTGCAGGGTTCACAAATTGCCAATGGGTGTGAAATTGAACACAAAGGATTTTATCATTGTTTTTCATTAGACTGTTTTCAAAGACTGAGCAGAGAGTAATATACAGAGAATTAGCATGTTATGAGCGTGTACATAATGAGCACATTTTCATTAGGTCATTGCCACTTTTCTATTTGTGACAATTAACTATTCGGATATTCCTTAAATACTTTTTCTTAATTTGATGCTCAAATGGTATCAAACATGAATATACTGAAAGGTGAATGTAGCCAAAGAGCTATGTGATTTGGACAAATCAGGAATGAGCGAATATTTCTACTAACAATAGGTCTTAAAATGTGCCAAAGAAAAATTGGGAAACACTTGACTACAAAAGAAAATATTTAGTCAGCACACACATTAAAATGTGCCAAAATGAAGGCTTTAGGTGTGTACTACTTTTTTTTATTTTTTATTTGGCTGGTAACACTGACGACTTAACCTATTGTGCTTCATTTGATCTTTTTTTCATATTAGTGTATTTATTTTTAGAGTTTATTGTACTTATTTTTGGGAACATGTAAGCATTAACATGTTTGTTTCTGCCTGAGAAAATGTTTCTTAAAACATTACTCATGCATACTGCACATTTGGTCTTCAGTGTTCTCTGCCTTTAAACCACTGAGCAATTTTAAACATTTACTCTTGCATTCATGCGGTATTCCACTTTTCCTTTGTTGATACTGTATATTTTGGCCTTCTGTGAACCCATTTTCTGCCCTGTTTATTGTTGGATCACAGTCGGTCTAAGATTGCTTTTACAAACTGTAATTCACTTTAAAACATCTCAAAATGCCTTATCAAAAGATTGTATTCTCAAAACAAAGGCACTGCGAGGAAATATAATGCATGACACTGCTACACAAAACAGGACTTTCATGTGATCTGTATTTATGGAGAGAATTTCTCCTCTAGCTTTACCTTCATCACAGAACCCTACTTTCTGCACAAATACCACAACACACAAGATAAAATGTACAATGCACCGC